GCAGGACACCAGTGACGGCACAGACCCTGCTGGCCAGATGGGATCGAGTGCACCCCCGGGAACTGAGCCGGGACCCCCTCAGAACAGGGAGGACTCGGGATCTCCCTGCTGCAGCTGCTGGACTTCCTCCACCCAGGGGACCCCAGATGGATCCCCGCAGCCTACGTCTCCCTTTTCTTCACCTGGGCCTGGGGACAGGGGAGAAAATAACCCAAACAGGGCCCTTTCTTTGTGTTGTGTTTTTTATTTAATTTTCCAACGAACACACTCTTTTATCATCCAAAACCGTGAAAGTAAATTAAGAAGAAATGGGTTTCTTTCAATTAGGCTCAGCGCTGCTTTGAGTAACTGCCTATAATTCTATTTAATGAAAAAATAAAATCATTATTCCACAGCTCCCCGTGCCCTGTCACAAGCCCACAGACGGGCTCCATTAGCGAGCACCGTAGATTTATTTAATTAGAAAAATATTTTGTTTTCTCTGATTCTTTAGGAAAAGAGGGGGGGCAAAAACCTAAAAAACCTCCAGGCACAAAATTAATCAAATCTGTTACCTGGTAGTTAATGGCTGCTACACACAGGCATCTCTCAATCTGCCTTGGATTCCCACCCGGAATTTGGATTGCACTCCAACCACTGGCTGACCTACACCTCCCTGGCTGTTTGGCAAACTCTAATGCCAAGGCCTTCGCTGCCAGAATGGGGGACCCCCAGGCGGGCACCCGGGGAGAGCAGTTACAGTCTCCTGTTGCCTCCAAACATGGGTCCTCTGGGCTTGTGCCCAACATGCAGAACCAGAGCTGTGGTCAGGCCCGTGCTGGCTATGTGGAGCCCTTGCAACGGCAGTGGCCCCCAGACCCAGACTGATACCCTCTCCCAAGCTGAAAACCTCACATGGCCCTAGGTACCTGAGCCAGAGAGCGCAGGAGGTATCAGGGGTGCATGGGTGAGAAGAGCAGCTATGCAGAAGGCCCTGGGCCCTCCCCAGGACACCAGTATAAGGGGAAGTCACCAGAATCGGTGACACAACCTGATGCCCTCCAAGACGACCATGGTGGCCTTGAAGTGCCTTACTGCCCTGCTGGAACATGTCCCTGACACTTGGCTCCTGGCGAGGTCCCTGAGGAGAGAAACTAGGGTGCATAAGATTGTGCCTGTGGTCTTTGCCTCCCTGAGATCTTTCCAGGGACTCTGAGCAGTAGCGTTAAGCTCCCCCAGAGGCCACCACACAGCACCCACAGGGAAACCCATCCTCAGCTGAGATGCCTCATCACACACAGGCATGACGTTGTCAGGGTCCCTCATCACATGAGGGATAGAGACAACAGGACATAGCCATATCCATGCCCGGAGGAAACAGGAGGAGCCTGAGCCAGACTGCAGGCAAAAATTCCACAGGGAGGGTCTCACTGAGCACAGTCCCCGGAGGAGCTCAGAAAATGGTTGCTGAATAATAGACGCAAGGAATTGATAAAACTGAAGCAGCCTTGGCTCTAGAGCCTCCTTGTTCTTCCGTCCTTCCTTTTCCCTTCTTCCTCTCCTCCTCCTGCCCTCCCCCCTCCTGCCCTCCCTCCTCCTGTCCTCCCCCTCCCGCCTTCCCTCCCTCCCACTTCCCTCCCTCCCGCCTTCCCCACCCCCCACTTCCCTCCCTCCTGCCTTAGCATTTTCCTTCTGTTCCTCCATCCTTCCCTCCTACTTTTTTCTTTCCCTCCTTTCTCCCCTCTCTCCTTCCTTCCCTTCTTCCCTCCTCCCTTCCTGGCTGCTGCAGGAACTTCCAGGAACACAGCCTATGGTTTAGAGCCACTCCTGAGGGCCACTGCAGGTGTCCTGGCAGAGAAGGAACATCTGTGAGCCAGTGGTCCCTGTGGACAGAGCTGCTGCATACGATACAGCTGCCTGATGAAATTCGAATCAGATCCGCAAGGATCCATTTGCTCGCACAAGTGAGTCCCCAGTGCTCCTCAGGAAGCAATGGGAAAGCATGGCCTGCTGTCCAGCTGAGGTCTCCTGGGGCCAGCACACTTGTTTCTTCTGGGGGCCAAGATGCTGAAGACTCCCTCACACCCCTTCCTCCCAAAGCCAGGACCTCTCACTGGGAAGAGATCCACACCTTTCCAGCTGATCACAGCCACCAGAAGCCACCTTTAAAAGGAAGGGAAGTTTAAAATGCAGTATATTTTATACTTTGATCATATTCTTTTCACACCCCAGCCCCTCCCAGATCCTTCCCACCTCCCTACCCACCCAAAGTAATATTCCCTCTCTCCCTCCCTCCTCTCTCTCTCTCAAAAATAAATGAATGAATAAAACAAAAGGAGTCAAAACAAACAAGACAAAAAACAAAGCAAAATAAAGCTACACGCACACATACACACACACATACACACACACACACACACACACACACACACACACACACACACACAC